CCTTGGAAATACCACTAGCAGTTCTTCAAAAAAAAAACCCAAAACAAAACAAAAACAAAATCTAGACAAAAGGGAAGCAGCAGAAAAGAAAAAAAAAAAATATCTTCCCAAGAGTGGAAGAACTTCCCTGCTTTTCTGTCCGTTTTTTTTTCAGGGAACTCAGCCTGGGTTCACCCAGGACCGTCCACTGAAGGAGGAAGGCCAGGGTTAAACTTTGCTCTTGGCCAATTAAAGAGTCTTTATAATAGAGTAACATGTGCAAAAAAAAAAACAAACAAAAAAAAAACCAAAACAAGAAAAGAATTAAAAATTAAATAGATCAACCCACGTTTTCCAGAATTATTGTGGCCAGAAAACTCCCTCTCTCCGCTCTGTGTCCTCACCCAACGCCGGAGCCTCACGGGAGCACCCGAGGTAAGAACTGCATTTGGGAGGGACCACCACAAAGAACGAGCCACCAGGAGGTGCCACCTCGTCACCTCCGTGTCCCTCCTGCATTAAAGACATGTGAGCAGCAGCCAAAAGAAACAAGGAGAAGAAGAATCCCCTTCTTTTCTGCGAAGACCGAGCGCCGTTTGTATTTTTTTTTGTTTGTTTGTTTGTCTGAAGGAAGAAGAGTTTCCTAAAACTCGAGGGTGTCGTTCAGCCTTCCCAGCAAGGGCCAAGCAGCTGCTTCCCAGGTGCTTCTCCAGGAAAGTTTGTGGCGTGTTTTACTCTGCCCCAGGGCAGGTTATAGCTGGAAACCATCCATGGGGGCCTCGGATTGCTGGAAGATGTATTGCTGCTGGTTCTCGTCCACCTGGGGGGCCACAGAGGAGTCGTCCTCCACCCCGAAGTAGTGCTCGATCAGGTCAAAGGCTTTCTGGTAGATCTCCTGGTTCTCGTGGCTCTGGAGGAATTCTATCTTATCCAAACCTTGCAGGGGAAAAAAAAAAAAAAAAAAAGAAAGGGATTGTGATGAAACAAAGAAATCCTGGTGGTTTATCTCAGATTTATTGCCCGCTCCCACCCTCGTCCCTCTTCACTGCAAGAGCTTTGGGTGAGATTTGCATTTTTTTTTTTTTTTTTTGAGGAGCTCTGACACCTAAGTCCAGACCTAAATGCAGCTATTCCAGAGCTGCTTGAGGATCTCACCCCTGTCAGGCAGCATTAATGCCTTCCCAAGTGGCAGGTTGAGCTCACACAGATGTTTTAATCTGACCCGAATCTGATTCAGCCTCCACAACTGGCTGTGAGGAATTTGGGAGCTGCAGGGGGGAAAAGGGAAGGGGGGAAGGAGCAGGGTCTGCAGCCTCCAGCTTTTAGCTGCCCTAATTAAATCCCCTGCTGCACATCCAAGAATTCCAAGAATTGTTCTTACAAGGGAGAATCAGGACACAGAGTGTAATAATCAGAGGGCAAAGCAGACACTGGCAGTACACAGGGAGTTCCAGACCAAAATAGGAACTTGCTCCTCAAAGCACTGAAAGAAGGACAAAAAAAACCACCCCCACCATTACCAAATTAAGTTGCTCCAGGGAAAAGCAAAGTCTCCCTGGATTTCCAGTGTTCAAGCAGCTACAGTTGGAGCAATTTTAGGCCCAGAATTGTCACTTTTAACCAGAAATTAGCTAAGTAAACACTCCCAGTGGTGAAAGCCACGACTAATCAGCTTGGCCTCCAGGTCTTGGAAGCCTGGATCAGAATTCTGATAGTTTTTACTTCCAAGTGTTTTTCTCCTCACACAATCACAAGTCTGAAGAGACTCTGGAACAAATATTGGCCGTTTTGGAATACACCAAACCCCTTAACAAAGCAGGAAAGCCCCCAACAGACCCCTTCAGTGCCCAAAGCCCCCACCTACCATAGGCCTCCTCGATCAGGCTGCAGTAGGGGTTGATCCCAGTCCCACTCTGGTTGGCTTCCTGCTCTCCCAGCCTCAGGATGTTCTCCAGCCCATTCAGTGCCACCAGAACAATCTTGGAGTCCATGACAGTCAGCAGGTCACACAGGGGCTTGATACAACCCAAATTTACCAGGTACCTGGAGAGAGAGCACCAGCAACACACACTTGGGTGTTCAGGGGCTGGGAAGCAGCACCTTGGCTCCATTAGAAAGAGCAAAGGAAATGGGCCAATCTAAAACACATAAATTTACCTTAAAATGTGTATTTACCACTCTGCAAGGGTAATTTTTATCCATTTATTTGCACTTGTATAGACAGCCCCTGTTTTCAGAAGCCTCCCTTTTATTTAAAGAAAAAGCTACTTTTGAAGTCCAGGTGCTGCTAAAAATTAACTCCACACTGGAATTTAATTAAGTTGTTAAATTTGGACATTTAGCCTTGTCTAAAATTACCCAAAGAGGGGGGATGGAGAAAGCTTGGACCAGATTCTTTATTCAGAAGGAAGTCACAATTCCCAGCAGAGCGAACGACCCAGCCACAGCTCTGCCTGCCTCAGGTGCTCCCCACACCCCTCCCATCAAGGCAAAGCTCCCAGGGATTTCTTCCCCCAGGGAATACCTGATCTGCTCAGGAGTCCCTCCTGAGGTGGCGTTGGTGATGGCCCAGGCTGCCTCTTTCCTCGTGCGGAATTCCGCCTTCTGCAGGATTTCTATCAGCACCGGGAAGATGTTGGCATCTATCACTGCCTGGGGACAGAGGGCAGGGACAGGGCTTGGCACTGGCAACACCATTCCTGAAAAGGCTTCTCAGCACCTGGGAGAAACCTCTACCCCCCCATCTCCCAACACAAAAACTTCCCAGGTTTCGGTGATTGCTCTGGTTTATTCCTCAGCCAAATCCAGTTAATGTGAGATTATTCCATAACCAGCAGGACAGACCATCCCTGGTATTGCATCAGTGCTGTGGGAATGCTTTCAGCACTGATCCCTATGTAGGTCAGGAAAAGGATAATTAAAACTGAACCAGCTCCAGCTCTTCAAAGGGGCTGAGCATGGAGAAATAAAGGGCTGCATCTCCTGTTATTCCGATGATCCAACGTGTGGGAATCATTTCAGGCTGGTCTGTGCTGGTGCCACCACCAAGCTCTTTTTCAGCTGGTTGGGAGCAGTGAATTTGCAAATTACTGCAGAATAAGGTGAACAAATCCAGCTTCTAAAATGTCAGATAAGGAAAAAAAAAAAAAAAAAAGCTGCAAATCCTTTTAATGCTGAGCTTGGAATCCGGGAGGAGAAAGTACCTGTATTTGTGCTCTGTTTCCCGCTGTGATGTTGGATATAGTCCAGCACGCCTCTTTCCTGATGGATTCCTTGGGACTGCTTAATAAATGAAGGAGACAAGGCAGGGCTGAGCAGTTTAGAATCACCTTTGGAGAGAGGAAGCAGAAGTGAGATCACCAGTGCCAGGTCTGGAGCTGATGGCCACCACATTCCCTGCGGGAAGGGCCTCTCCTCTCACCTGGGTCTGGATGTCATCCCCCGTCACGATGTTGCCAACCGCTCGCAGAGCTGGGGAGGCCACTTTGTAGTCGTTGTGCCTGCAGGAGAACGGGGCAAGGACACAAGCAAATCCATCAGATCACTGGGATGTTTGGAATATTCTCCCCCCCATTTATCTCCTCTGCATTATTTCCTTGGAATTCCATCCCCTGGCGTGTAGAAACACACGGTAAGTTGACCGTACTGCCAAAACAGAACTGCAATATAGTTTGGACCTTTACATCCCAACTCAATCCTCTTTTCCACACAGGTAACAGGAGAAACAAAGCCAAGCTGAGTTTTGCTACCCACTGTTCTTTGATTTGCCTCATAACCAGGCTTCCCTAAGCACATCTGAAGTTTAAGAGCACACAACACGCTGCAATCTTCTCTCCCTCCACAGATGAGAAGTGTCAGTTTGACCTTTCCTTACTAAGCTCTTCCTAAGTTCTCTGTGTGGTTGGCCCACACTCGTACTCTCCAATTCCAGAAATTTACAGGGATAAGGTGTCTTTTATCAGTGAATTTGCAGTTTTTGGGACTGCTGTTGAGACCAACACAGGTGTCTCTTCACTAGCATTGAGTCTAACCAGACAAACCAGCAAACTACAGCTCTGAATCTGCTCCAAGAGCCTCCCACAGAACTGCTCCCAGCTCAGCCCAGCTGCCAGATCCCGTGAGCACAGGAGGTGTGGAGTGCTCTGATGGATCTGACCTGGATTCACGCTCAGCTTCCTGCCTGGCAGGGCTGGGCCAGCCATCCCAGCTACTCACATCAACAGCTCCACCAGCCGCCGACACACTCCCGAGTCCACCACTGCCTGGATCTTCTCGTTGGGACCATCTGACAGGTAGGAAAGGGCCCAGCAGGCGTCTGCCAGCAGGTCAGAGTCGCTGTTGAACAACAACCTGGACAGCACCGGCAGGCAGGGAGACACCTGGAACGAGAGCCACCGGCTGGGTCACTCACCCTGCCCGGGACCACCACCCTGCAGGCCAACCCCACCCACGAGCTGCTCACACAGGGCCTGCATGGCCACAGGTTCCTGCATGGCCACAGGTTCCTTCCCCCAGGTCAGCAGCTTCCCACACCTCCTAATCACAGCGTCCAAAACACCCCCTCTGTTCCCTCCTGGAATGACTTAGAGGAGCCCAACAGCCCAAAATAACTGGGACAAACATCTCAGCTGGGTGTCTCCCCCCACCCCATCACCTGTTCTGCCCACAAGGCATTTGTTCTCACCTTATCAAATTCAGGTGGAGGGCTCTTCCCTCTGCACAGGTTTGACAAGGCCCAGACAGCATTTCGTGTCATTGTCAACCTGGTGGACGTCGTAAGGAGCCTAAAGAGAGAATCACCAGGAATCAGGATCCTTATGTGGCAGTCAAGGGAATCCAAAGAATTAAAACCAGTATGATTTTGAGGAAGTCAAAGCACTATTTCACTGGGTGTAGCTCAAGCCATGCTGCTTGTCACCTGAGCCTCTCAATAAGCAAGAGAAGTGACCACTTTGTGGGATAAATAGCTGTAATTCCCAACAGTGCCAAGGATACGGGGCAGGAAGGCAACTTCCACCTTGGGCAGGTTGCAGAAGGAAGGGCACGTGAGCCAAGTGCAGCTCCAGGTTCCACTTCAGCCCAGACACTCCCAGCCTTCACCAGAGATGGGGTGACATGAACTGCTCAGGCTCTGAGCTCTGAGGAGGACGGTGAGTCCTGTGGGATGAGGAGTCAGGCAGCCCCCCAGGACAGGGCACTGACACCAGGAGCAGGAAAACAAGCCATTTGTGACAAAGAATCCGTTTTCCAGGGATGGCATGAAGATTCACTCCTTCCAGAGCTACGAGAGCCTGACAGATGGGTCTGACTGTGGTGGGTGTGCACCAGGCTGAGAGAGGGGGTGTACAGAGACCTGTTCCCACTCCAAGCCCTTGGAATCCATATCACAAGCAGAGAGCAGGACCTGAGGGACACCCTGTGACTGCAGAAGGACCAGCACACTGCAGCAGCACCCACTCCACATGCAGAGCAGTGTGAAGGGCTGTGAGAAGGCACGTTATCCACCGAGTCCCACTCCATCTGTCAGATCCCTGCCTGAGCTGGGAGTTAACCTGGTACCAGTGGTTTGATTCCCAGCGATCACCACCAGGGAATCTATTGGCCCAGCTCCAGTACTGCTGCTGGGGCACAAGAGGACTCCAAGAACTGCACTGGCAAGTGTTCATGGCTACTCACATTAATAAGGGAGGAAGGATAGCGCAGTTAAGGACATAATCTCTACACACAGAGCTGTCTCCAGCAATGTTCCCCAATGCCCAGACAGCCTGAAAGGAAAGAGCAACAGTTTTAGCATTCACAGTTTCTGACAGAGGAAGAACAAGGCAGTGAGCTAAGAAAGCATCTTCCCCAAATTCCAGGCAAACAACACTTCCACCTGTGGTCTGGAGCCAGTTGGGAGACACTGGTCACTCATTTTAAACGCTGCATTTTTATGGTGTGCAACCCACTGTGCTTGTCCCCCCCAGTCCCAAAGAAAGGAGTGGTCCTTACCTGCTCCTGAACATCCTCAAAGTCAGAGTTTAACAGCTCTATAAAAATGGGAACTGCCCCAGCCTCGATGACTATTTTTGTTTGTTGGGAAGTCCCTGATGCGATATTCGTCAGTGCCCACGCAGCTTCGAACTGGAACAGGCAAAGAAGTGACAAAAGCATGAGTAAAACAAGCCTGATTTGGCAAAACCATCACATTTCAGCTATAACTCTTTCATTGTGAGGGAAAGGAAGCACATCACTAGAGGAGACCTCAACAATCAAAGGATTTTATTTTCTTGAGCAATAAAAGAGCCACATCTGCTCAAATCCTTCTCAGAGGCTACAGCTGCTCAAAGGGTGAGGGTGTCACCACCAGTCACTTCACCTCTACAGCCATTCCCCAGCAAGGGAAACGAAGACACACGGAGCACAAACACACAAAGTAGAAAGTTTTCTACTCCTTGAGTTCAAGGGAAGCTGAGCAGCTCTTTTTGCCTGTCTTTGGTTTAAATACAGATTCCCACTTGGTTCTTCTGGAAATTAAGCCCCTCTGGTCCACGGCCTGGGGCCAGAGGGCAGGAAGAGAGATGAAAGCAGTCATCAACTCGGATCAAATTCCATGTATGGAAGTATCTTTAACCCCCTCCAAAGCAACCAGACTTATTACCAAGCTGGAAGGAATCTCAAGAAGCCACCCAGGCTGTCCCTCTGCCCCGGGCAGGAGCAGCACTGCCCAAGCCATTTCTAACAGACTCTTGGCCTCTATTTAAATGCCTCCAACGATGGAGGTTTCTCCTCACACAGTTTCTTCCTGCATGCTGGCTCCACCAGCTCCCAGAAATATCAGATACAGGAAGGCCAAACTCTCTGGGGTGATTTTTCCCAGCATTCCTTGGAGAATTTAATTCAGAGCAATTTATTATTTTTTTTGCTTAAGCTCTACAGGCTACCTTTGTCTTTTCCTGTAGATCGTACAAGCTGCGTTTTTTTGGGTTCAAAACATCACTTTCCCCTGACAGCACGTGTGGGTTCACACTGCTGAGCAAAGCAGCAAATAACTGATAACATGATCTCCTTTACCTGTAATGTGCAATTTTCACTTCTTTTCAGGAATTCAACAAATCTCTCCACCACTCCCTGAGTGTTTATCACTTCATCTATCGGAGGATTGGGCTCTGGAACAGCAAGACAGCGTCAGAGCAGTGTACAGGCCTCATGCAGGGGATAACAAGCATGAAGGGTTAATTCAATTATCTCAGGTTGCACTGAGCAGGACAACCCTGCAGAGTCACCTTCTGTACTGTTCATACAACTGTCAATCATTGGCAATACAGCAAATTATCACATTTCTAGTTTATGGTTTTCTTTCCCCAAGCTCAAAGCTTCTGTGCAGCAACACGTGCACAGACTCTTGCAAAAGCCAGATCCCGTGGCAGGGATGAGTTATTTTTACCTTTGGAAAGCAATTTCCTGAATTTCTGAGTGGTTGCCAGCTGTAGGTCAGGGTCATCTGAGAAAAGCATCTCTACCATCTCTCCTGTGATCAATCCCTCCTGAAAAGATGCAGAGGAGACAGAAAAATGGTTCAGTTTCAGCCTAAGATATTTAAGGCATCACACACACACACCCCACAGCCTGCCATGATGTGTGCTCAGCTGGTGAGTCAAAGATTAAAGCTTTGAGATCCCAGCCCACTATTTACTTCCTGAGAGACTTTTGCAGCTCACTGCAGTAACACCTGCAGTGCTGCTGGGAGGAAGGGGGTAAATGTGGAAGACTCTGGAGGAGGATTCTGGACAAGCCCCAGGGCCTCAGCACCCCCAAAGGATTAAATCTGAAGGCAGAGCTGGGCCAAGGAAAGGCACTTTCCTTACCCCACAGGTTGTGGAACTGACGTAGGAATCCACCAGGTGACTGTCACACATGGAGTCATCCTCATTGATCAGCTCCACATTCCTCCTTTTGAAGAGCTGGTGGGGAACAGAGCACAGGGATTGTTATTAGAAAGCAACGGCGAAAAGGCTCCACAACTTGACATTCTTGTTCCTCAACCAGGATTCCTTCAGCTAAGATTGAAGGTAACCTGAGTAAAAAAAAAAAAAAGTGGTCATTAATAACAGCTCTGCTCTCTCAGGGCTAGTCTGGCACACAAACCCCAACAGTCAAACATGCTGAGTCTTGCCCTCAGATATGCAAATGCCCAAGTCACTCAGACACTGGTACAGGCAGGGCAGAGTTTGATCTAACAAGTCAGGGGAACTGGGCAGAAGGCAGCTTGTAGGTGATGTTCTAACAGAGCAAATATTTAGTCCCACACACATCACCCTGTGCTTTCATAGACCTCCAAGCCAAAAAAAATCCATCTCAGAGTTAAGGAATACACACAGCCCATACTTTCACTTGCTCTTCCTGTTTCTCGAGGAAATAATCCCATTCACTAATTAAAAAAATAAACAAAACACACCATCGAAAAAACACCACCACCTTTAACAACAAGGATCTGTGAACAAAAAAAAAAAAAAACATCTCCAGTACCCCAAGGAGAAAGTGCTTGGAAAGCTCTTGGTGTGAACTGGGTACAAAGAAAAAGAGAAAAGCAAGATCTCAGAACAGGAAAAAAAAATAAGAGGACTGCCAACAAACCTTAATGCACAGATCCTTGAAGATTCCAGTTAGGCAGCAGCACAATCTTGGTTGTGTTAAGGCTGAACACAACCTACTCAAGATGACAGTTACCTGTTGCTCTCGTTTCTGTTTGCGCAGTTGAATTCCTTCCTCTTCTCTTCTCCGTCTCATTTCCTCCAGATTTAGGGCTTTGTTCTTGTAACTCTTCATTCGATAGTTTTCTGTGAAAACAAAGAGGGTTCTGCCTCAGAGCTCCTTCATCCACGTGTCCTTCCTGACAGGAACTCCCTGTGCATGGAGCAGGGAACATCCAGACTGAACTGATTCATTCACTCCAAGTGCACAACTAAACCCAATTCCTACTCAAAACCCAAGTAACTTCCCTGCTGTCACCACGGCATAAACCACACCTGGACATTTTTTTCCCCAAGCAGACAAAAAAACCCCAACAGAACCAAGGCCTTGATTTAATGATCACAATAACTCCTTGCAAGCTGTACAACAGGAGGCACAGGCCACGTGTGTCCCACCAGGTGCTGCTGCAGTCCCTGACCTACTTATCCCGCTGGTTCACAGCTGACTAAGGCAGCAATTCCAGCCTGATTCCCTGTGTGTCTGCCTCCAGGTCAGGGAAGTGGCACTCCACTATCTGGCACAGTTCAAGGCAGCCAGGGCCAAGCAGTAACCCAAGTATGATCAGGAGGGCAGTTCCTCACCCATCCAGCTGCAAAAGTCCTTCTGAACCTCTCCAAGCTCTCCTGTTTTGGATACAGATTATTTGCACATCTGTGCCTTTCCCAGGACGGGAAGGAATCACAGTCACAGCTAACCCTGAACAAAGTAACCCCTCCACAACTCACTTGAGCACCACTATCTTTGTTTTCTCCCAGCTGACAAGGGAAGTGTTTTGTGGAAGTCTGCAGTGTTATCTCCCTATCCCCCACTTTCAAGCCCCAGGCACCCTCAGCCCCCACTGCTCACAGAAAGTTTCAGACTTATCAACTGCCTGCAGCCACTCTGGAGCCCTTCCAAGATCAAGTGGAGAAGTTTCAGACCTGAAAACCCACAGACAAGCCAAGAGGAGACACAGACAACACACAGATATCCAGCATTTCACTGCCATGGAAAGAGAAAACAACTGGGAAAATCAGCAATTGGACAGAATACTTTCAGCTCTATGATTTGCCAAAACAGCCCAAAAGACACCAAACAAGATGCAAATCCGCAGGATTCAGGGGTTTGTGTCTGCCCAGCAGCAAGGTGTCACCTACGTCTAGATTTGAATTCAGAAATTGTATTTAACTACCTGTTAAATGTTATAGTTGTGTATTCAATTTACCACCCCAGTGCCGATGGCTCCTGCAGCCACACAGCAGAGCAGGGGTTGAAAGCTTAATCCTCAAAACAATTTAAGAACCTTAATCCTCCTTTTGGAAAGCTGAAGTCTCCAATTAAAAGTTTTTTTTTTTCAAGAAGAGGAGGAGTGAAAAGGCAGTCATATAAATAGCTGAGGGACACATGACAGTTCAGCTGCCTCCAAGCTGGCCCTGCCCCACTCAGCTCTGTCACCCCAGAGCTGGGGAACAGCCAGAGACACTCTGAGGGCTCAGGAACACTCAGCACTTTGTCCTTTATGGCTTTTTTTTTGTGTCCCTGAGCATCAGGAACACACTCATCCTGCAGAGAAACCCCAAAGACACGACAAACCCCAAGGAGTGATTTTTCACATCACTCTGCGACATTCCCGGGACTAAATTTCCAATTTTTTTCCTCTCCCACACTTTTATCTCTGCTGATGATTTCCCTTGACTTTTCCCAGCCCACCAGAACTTGAATGACAGGAGAATGCTGATTGGTGACACTACACCCCCCATCTCTAGGCAATGCATGGATGTGACAAAATGCAGGATCAGGACCTCACAGTGAGCTCAGACACTGCAGGATCCACGGATTCCAGCACGTGGAATCAGACAGCAGGATGCCAGGCATGGCCAAATTCTGTACTTGGGGTGTTTCAGGACAAAACATCCAGTTCATCTGCAAGTCAGGCTGTGTGTTAATTATAAACTCAAATTCTAGCAGTGGGAATACCCACAAAACCCACTAAAACCAGGCCGGTGGAGAAGCTGGGCCGGCAGGAATGGGGAAGCAATCCTTAAAAACTGAGGGATGAGAAGGAATTTACCACTTAAAAGAAAGGGAAAACAGTGTGAAAGGTTGACTTTGAAGGCTGAGCAGAGCACTCAAACCCTGTGTAAAGCCAACAGAAATTGCAGCAGCTCAGCCAAAACTGTCCTTGCAGGGCCAAGATTCTACCAGCTCCTCGATATTCCTGGATCAGGAATCTCAGCTCTGCCTCTTCCCATTTCTCTGCATGACAAACAGCATTTGCTTCAAACCTTTTATTCAGCTGCTGATTAAACCCTGGGGAGCTGAGTCACTGCAGGGACTTCTGCTGCTGAGTCAGAGCGAAAGGCCGGGCCAGGGACTCACTGACAGACCTGACACGGCTCTTTGTAAGCCAAAATTCCCAGTTCCAGAGGGAATCTTCCAAAGGGAACCTTCCAAAGGCGTCTGCTAATCCCTGTGGCACGGCCTGGCCAGGAGGGCTGACAGCCCTTGCAGTGAGGAAGGGCTGGGGAATGAGGCAAGTGTAAATAAATACACTTGATGAACTTCATCAGCACTAATCTGCCAATTAGTGTCCGCTTGGGGACATTCCCAGCTCCGAACCAGGTGACCTCCAAAGGCCCCTTTGCCCAATTTTTCCCTGGGATAGGATAAATTTGGTCGTTTACAACAAAACCTCCCCTAAATTAGACAAGTGGCAGCAAAACACACACAGCGAATTACTGAGTTTGGTGGGACAAACATTCCTGACCGTGTTCCCTGGGTTTTTCCATGTCATTCCCTTCCCTGAAATCCCAGAGGAGCCTCCCAGTTCCTCCTGCTGCTTAACATATCTAACACCTCCAGAGGATTCTCTTCTAGAAAAAGTGTGTCCACGACAACTGTAGAAAGAAAAGACTAAATAATCTGTACTTCTTAAACACAAATTAAATGAAGGTTGTTGTAATGAACACATAAAAGTAGTTGAATTATTTCTGTATAAAAAGACAGCTCTGAGCTGCCACCAGAAATTAGTCAAAACCAGAGTCTTTTACTGTCCCTTTGATAGTTTTGCACTGAGATAACAGAAAAAAAGGGGGGGAAAAAATCACTTTTGCTCACAAGATAGAGGGAAAATGAAGCTAAACAGGAGACAAGAAATCCTGTCAAATAATCAGCAACTCAGGGCTTTTCCTACAGCCCTGGAATGACCCCAGCTGCCCTCAAAGCCCGGCAAAGTGGCCAAACTGTGCTGTGCTGTCACTGCTGGATGTCTGCTCTGCTCTGTCATCTTCGCCCACGGGTTATTCGAGTGTTTCCCACGAATGGGACCCCCAGAGGCTCCCCCAGGTCCCTGTCCCCACCCCCCTGTGCTGGTAAATCCCTTGTCCCCTGCAGCTCTTTGGCTCCACTGGCTCGATCCCTGCCGGATCCCTGTCCTGGTGCAGCTCCCACCCGGAGCCAGGGATGTGATATCACCGCTGGAATGTGCAATCCCAGCGCCGGGAGGGGGAAGGGACAGGCAGAAATTCTCTCCGGGGGAGAAATCAAGTCCCACAGCACCGAGATCAGGATTCCCTTTGGATGGGAAAAGAACCCACTTTACCCCTCCTCAGCCCAGTTCCCAACAGGGTAATTTCCACGCTGCCTCCTCCTGATTTGATCTTTTCAGCCCCCAAAAATCTGAGGTTTTGGAGGGGTTTAAATCCTCTTCAAACCGAGACATCCTGATTTCCTTAAGGGAAAAGAGTCCTTTGCAACAGTCCCTAAAACAGGGATTAACTTCAGCTACATCACCTCAGAATCAACCCACGAGAGTTACAGGTTAAAAACCAACCAGAAGCACTCAGAGGGATATAAAATTCCAATAAATCCATCCTTCCCAACGTGTGCTTTGCCTCAGAAACAAGCAGGGCTGTGTGATTTGCTAAGCAGATTTCTCTGGAGCTCCCCAGCCCCAGAGCTGAAGGAGGCCTGAAGGAATCAGGACTTTCACTCCTGCACGACTGCAATGATCAAACTCTCCCCCGACAAAGTTCATGTTTGCTCTCCTGAACACAAGCAAACAAAGAAAACCAGCCAATTCACTGCTAAATTCATCAGGCAGAGGAGTTTTATTCAGAACTGAGCATTATATACCGCTCCATGGGTTAAACAGCACTATAAAAGCATTTAAACACATAATTTGCATAGCAAACGAAGAGTGAATTAATGAGAGCCTCCAACAGTATCACAACTGCTGACAGAAAATCCAGCACCCTCAGCCTGCACTTTGCAGGAAGGGGGTAACAACCCTGCTGCCCCCATTTAGCCCCCTCACCCAAAACAATGAAAAAAAAAATCAATCTTAGTTTATTTTAAAATAAATGTTTCACTGGGATGATTCAGGGGAGGGGGGAGGATGGGAAGCTCCCGTGCACGGACTCCTCAGCTCCAGATAAAAGTGCTCCAGCAGTTTCCAGACGTTCACAAGAGGCCCAAGGACATTTTTTTTTCCTCCTCAGAGCTGCCAGCAGAGGTTTTACATCTGGGGTTATAAATTAGGATTGAAAAGCTGTTCGGGGCTGGGGAGGTGCAGCAGCCACTGCACACACACGAAGACTGTCACGGACCCGTCCTGGAACAATCACAGGAGGGGCTGGAGAGGAAAGTTCCTGACGGGATCATGACGAGCAGGATCCCACCCCAAAGGGCATTTTTGAAGCTTCACAGGATCCCAGAGTGGTTTGGGTTGGAAGGGAACTTAAAGCTCATCCAGTTCCACTCCCCTGCCCTGGGCAGGGACACCTTTCACTATCCCAGGCTGCTCCAACCTGGCCTTGGATGCTTCCAGGGATGGGCTCACCTCATCCTCCAGACCTTGCCTTACCACCTGAACCCTCAAAAAAGCCCCTCCTCTCCTCCCTCAACACTTCAGGTACATCAAATATAAAACCCACTGGGATTAAAGCACCTCTTGAAGGGCAACGCTCAGCTGTGATTTGTTTGCAGCCTGCCAGCTCTGGGAGCCTTTAAGTGTATTTATTGGTGTTTATAAAGATGTTTATAATTATTTATTGGTGTTTATAAAGAAATAAACTCCTCCACCTCCTTCCCTGCACATCTGCCCGTGCCACCCACGGGTGTTTATGGTGACACCGGGGCTGAACTTTTGGTTTTATGGAAACCACAAAGCCCTGCCGGGTGATCAGAACCGCGAAGAGGTGACTCGGATCTCGCCCTGAACTCTTGCAAAGCCCGGAATTTGAACTGAACAGCAACCCGGAGAATTTAAATTAAACAGAGATCAGCCTCTGATGGAGGTTTGGCTGCAGCAGGTCCCTCTCAACGGTCTGACCTCGGTGGGTGCAGCAGGAACAGCCCCAAATACCCCAAATTTAGAGTATTTCAGCACTGACACCTCGAACCTGGGGCATTACAGTACTAACACACCGCAAAATCGCAATATTACAGCACTGACACCCCCAAACCGGAGCGTTTCAGCATTAATACCCCAAACCCGGGCCATTAGAGCACAGACAGCCCAAACCCGGGGGATTTCGGCCCTGAACCCCCAAACCCGAGGTACTTCAGCAATAAACCCCCTCAGAGCTCTCGCCCCCCCCCGGAGCGCCCCAAAGTCGCTGTTGGCGCTGCCCGGAGCGGTAACAACCTCCGTGCCCCGCGCCCCTCACCGACAGCACCCCCCCAGCGTCCCCCCGAGGCGTCCCCGGGGGTGACTCAGCAGCACCGCGGGGCCCTTCGCCCTCAGCCCCGGGGAGCCGGTGAGGGGCGCGGGCGGCGGCGGCGGCGCGGGGCGGGCGGGCTGTGCGTGCCGCCCGGCCACAGGGTGACCCCTCCCGGCCCTGTGCCGTACCCCCGGCCGCGCCCGGAGCCCCCCGCGGCCGCTCCCGCGGTCCCCCCGAGCCCCTCGGTGCCCGCTCGCCCCTCACCCATCTCGGCGGCTCCGGCGGCAGCTCCGGTGGCGGCGGCCACAATATGGCGGCACCGGGCGGGGCGCGGGCCGGACGGCGGCCGCGCGGGGACAAACCTGTGCGCGCGGGGAGGAGCGGGGCGGCCGCGAGTGGAGGGGGCGGGGCCGAGGCGCTAGGGCGCCCCCCAGCGGGCGGGGGCGGGGCTAAGCCGGAGGCCGCGTCGTGTCACTCGTGTCGTGTCACTCGTGTCGTGTCACCTGTCACTGGTGTCCTGTCACTTGTGTCCCTTCACTTGTGTGTAATTTCCTCGTGTCCTGTCATGTGTGTCCTTTCACTCGTGTCCCAGTTCTTGAATTCCATCCCCTCATTCACATCCCATTCCTTCCCACCCTGTCCCCTTGTGTCCCTCACATCCCTGTCCCAGTGTCCCCTCCATACACCCCACACGTGTTTTGAGCTCTAAATCACCCTGTCTGTGTCCCCCCACCCCACAGGGAGCGAGAACACCCCAGACAGGGCAGAGACTCTGAGAATTCCTTTAATTGCTGTTATAACTGCAAGTCTGTAAAAGGTTTGGAGAAAGTCATCGTTACAAAACTACCAGCTGTTAGAATTGTTCCCAGCTCTCACCCCAGCTCCGAAAGGCTCAGGGAGATGCAGAGATTCAGAACAGAAGAATATTGCACGACCAACCCAACGGTTAATTGGACTAAAGAAGAAAGGAAAAGTGACACCGATGAGAGTGCTGCCCCTCAAGCTCTGCCCGGGGACCAGCTGGGACTGCCACCAGCAAATCCCCTCCCCAACACCCCACGGGTGTGCCCTGCCCACCATCTGAGCCAGGACAAGGCTGCAGCCACCTCACCCCAGGCAGAGCTGTCCCCAGTCCCCGGGCCCTTTGGCAGGACTGGGATGCTCCCACCTGTGTGGGCAGAATCTCCCCAAAGGAGGGGGAAAAAAAACACAGAAAAACTCACCCCAAAACCCCAACTCTTCCAAGTGCACCTCATTTAGTGCTGTCCAGGCCCAGCAGGGATCCCACAGCTCTGGTGGGACAGCCCTGGGAGGGGCAGGACAAAGGCATCACATTCCAAACCACAACCCCAAAGGCAAGGGGGAGCCCCAAGGGCACTGTCCCCCGGGGATAAATCTGTATTAGCAACATAATGTGTCATTGCAAGGGAACTGCCCCCAAAAAAAGAGGCTGTGGGGCTGAGGGAAGCGTTGCCAAGCAGTCATGGGGGCTCCAGTGAAGGGATCCAAGTGAGCACAGCAAAGCCCGTGGCCCTGGGGGCTGTGGGACCCGGCACGGGTGGGACACGAGGGGTCAGGAGGGGACAACAGGTCCCACCCACACTTGGGAGCCTCTGCCTCCCCCTAGGCTGGCAGAGGGAATGGCCAAGCAGGGGTTAAAGTGGTCAGTGGGCCAGGCTGGGGCTTTGCAAGGGCTGAACTGGGCACCACAACGAGGGGGTTCTGTGCTCCAGGGGTGACCCAAACCCAGCAGGGCTCAAGTAAGAAGAAGCCACGAGTACTTTGCTTGGAGAATCTACCCAGGAAGGACACGAAGCCCAGTGCAGGAAGGTGGTGCAGCTGCAAAGAGGGGGAGCAGCAGGCCTTGGCTCTTCGAGGAGCTGCTGGAAAACGGGAGTCTCCGTGAGGAAAAGCTTCCAAGACAAAAAGCCAGGCAGAAGCTCGGAGTTTGGCAAGGGTGGGGGTTGGCTCTTCCCAGGGTCAAAGCCACAAGCCAAGTGCCTTTTTTTGTGCAGCACCTCCAGCTTCCAGGCCCTCCCCGTGTGTTCTTCCCGGGCCAGGGGTGCGGAGCAGGAACAGCCACATCCAGGAGCCTCCCAGTCGTGGGTTACACGTGAACACACAAGCAAACAAGGAGCCAAGCTGGCACCTGGCAGCACCAAACACCCCTGCCAGGGGTCCCAGTGCCACGGGGACCCCTCACTCTGCCTCCACCCCACAGGTCAGGGCGGTCAGTTTTGGCCTGGCCAGTCTCTGGGACCTACGGAGAAGACGGGCTACGTGTGCCAGAGACCTCCTGCTTCCTCCCCCTCCTGGATCTGAAGGGGTCACTCGAGTTGCCCACAGGATTTAGCGGGAATGAAACTCCTTCCAGCCTGGAAGTGCAATCCCCAGCACAGTCACACACAAAGGAACAGCCGGTCCGTGGTTTGATTCACGTTCGATGGTGGAAATGAGCCTGTGACACACACTGGAAGCAGCTGCTTTATTCCCAGTCTTCCCACTCTTCATCTTCCAGCTGCAAGCAAGAGGAAACATCCCTCTAGTTTGGTTCTGTGACTCCACACACAGCTCCTCCTGCCCAGGGCACCCGAGTCAGCACAAAGCCTGAGGTATCCTCATGCTCCCACCCCCTCCCAGCAGGGATCTGCCTGCCCTGTTCCCCTGGGGAAACCTGCACACCCTCTCTCAGCTTGGGGAGCGACTTTGCCCCTCCCCTCACTCACCTCCCCAGACATTTCCACCTTGGACAGCGCCAGCTGCACCTCCTCTTCAGTCATGTCCAGATCAAAGTCCTTCTCCCAGTCCTCGCTGATGTCCGTGCTGGAGCCTGGAACCACAGAGAGCCCCTCTGAGCCTCCAGAGCTGCACCTGCTCTCTGGAGCTGCCCAGGCAGGCCCCAAATTCCTTGATTCCTTTTGATTTCTTGTGCAGTTTCATTCCACACACAGAGCCAGCTGCTGACACTCAGCCACCCTGGCGGATCTTGGGCCGTTCCAGGAAGCAGCACAGCCATTATCCTGGGAGAGCTGCAGCTCAAGGCTCTGCTCAGGGCAGTATCACCCCAAGGAAAGGCCTGGAAATGCAGTCACACAGAGCTGTGACATGTCCTTAACCTGGTCCTGCAGGAGTCTCACCCTTTGTTCCCCCGAGAGAACAGGGAATGGGGCTCAGGGGAGGGATGAGGACAGAGCCAGCTGTGACACCAGCTGTCACCAACTGATGTGACCAACCCAACAGCGTAAGGATTTACTCCCACTCCACTTTCAGCCATTCGGATCTACCCTTCGTGGGGCATTTTGCCAAAATCCCTTTCTGCTCCCCCATCACCCACAAAAAGCAGAGCCCTTCCCCAAAAGCTGTCCCCCCCCCAGGCCCCGTGTGGCCCCACACACGCACCTTTCTTGCCGTTGTTGGATGGGGTGGACTTCCCACTGTCCGAGTTGAGCTCGAAGACTCGCAGATCCGTGGGCCCTTCCTCCCTCAGAGTCTCTGTCCTGCCCTGGCCTTTGCCATCCCCCTCTCTGAGCTCCGCACCAGCTCCTGGCTCCGAGGATTCTGCTGATTCCCGGGCAGGTGCAGAAGGCTGAGCAGCTTCTGGGAGCTTCGGCTCTTCCAAGGTGGCCTCCTCCAGTCTCCGGGAGAGCTCCGTGGTGGTGCCGGCGGGCTGTGCCCCAGTCTGTGGCTGTGCAGCAGGCACAGAGGCAGGGTTGGCAATCTGAGTCACGAGGGACACGCTCTCGCTGCTCTCCGAGGGGCTCAGCTCCGGGGGGAGCACGGCCCAGCTGCCCTCGGGGGGGCCCTGGGGAGCAGTGGGGTGGGCTCCCTCCGGGGCGGGTTCTTTCTGGGCTGCTGCTTCTGGAAATGTGATGTTTGCACAAGGCAGGGGTGACATCCCCAAGAACTCCTCTGTAGGGAGGCAGAAGAGAAGCGAGAGATGTTTCAGCAAGGGCAGCAGCAGCTGGGCTGGGGGCTGGATTGCACAAATGTCCTCAGCTGGAGGGGAGCCACAAGGATCATCCACAGGACACCCCAACAATCCCCCTGTCCCTGAGAGCGTTGTCCAAATGCTCCTGCAGCTCTGGCAGCCTTGGGGCTGTGCCCACTGCCCTGGGGAGCCTGTTCAGTGCCAAGCACCCTCTGGGGGAAGAACTTTTCCCTGAGATCCATCCCAACCCCCCTGGCACAGCTCCAGCTGTTCCCTCGGGTCCTGTCACTGTTCCTCCACTGTCCCTCATGGGAGCGAGGAAGAGGCACCCACAGAGCCCCAAAATCCGCCTCCACCAAGACCCACCTTCATCCTCCTCCCAGCCTGGCTCCTCCTGGTGCATGCTCTGCTCCGCTCGCTGCTTCAGAGCCTCCCTCCGGGCCTCATCCTGCGGGGAATTCCCTGTCAGCAGCCACACGTGGCCCCAGCCCCTTCCCCCCCAGGGCATTCCAGCATCACTGACCACAAGAAGGCAGCCCAGCTCCCCCTGCTTTTTCAGGAACAGCCTCTGCTGTGCCCTGGAGGGCTCCTTGAGGGAGCTCCCCCCTGAGCTGGGCCCCACCTGCTCCAGGCGATGCACTCTGTAGAAGTAGCGCTGCCAGAACTCGGAGTGGGAGACAGCCACGGGCACCTGGAATGGGATGAGCCACTTCAGAGGGAGGGCTGCAGCTGCTGCCCTGCTCCTCCCTCCTGCCAGGCCTTGCAGCCACCCCCCTGCACCATAAGGCACAGTGTTCTCAGGGCTGAGCCTCAGGCAGGTGCTCCAACACACCCTGGGCAGCTCCAGAGGAGCTCCTGTGCCAGGCCCAGGACAAGGATGGAATAAACTACAACCTGCTGCCTAATCCCCGTGCAACCACAGTGGTTTCCAGGCCCCAGGCAGCTCAGGGCTGCCCTGCACCGCTCCCCAAGTGAGGAATTGCCCACAGCAGCCAAGCAGGGCCTCACTCACCATTTTGGTGTAGAGGGCCCGGATGGACGGGCTGGTTGCCAGCAGCTCTGCCACCTCCCCTTTCTTGTCCTCCAGGCTGAACTGAGCCAGCCAGGCCTCCAGCAGCTCAGCAGGGCCTGTGTGGGACAAGCACAGGGATAACAGCCCTTGGCACAAACAAGCAGGAAGAGTTTTGGGAGGTTTAACTGGGAAAATGCTGCTGGGGCAAAGGGGGAGGGAGACACGGGGCTGGAAGCCCACACAAGAACACCAGTTTAAACTGGGCCACCAAATTCAGCCTAAGCTGGTCCCTGACACAGCAGACAGATGTGCTCCTCATGACTGGCGATCCCAGCTGCAGGCTAAGCCAGCAGCCTCCCTGGGGAATTCCAGATGGATCCCAGACACCCAGCTGGGCTGGGCAGCACCCCAGATCACCCCCCCAAACCCCCTCATACCATCAGGCTCGTTGCAGTAGGTGGCTGGGTCGGACTGGAGGCTGTAGAGACGAGCCTGGAGGAGACACAGAGGGCAGAGCTGTCAGGGGAGGGGGCAGCAGCAGAGCCCCAGGGGCAGGGGACTCCACGTGCCAGAGCTTCCCTCCGGGAACGGGACACTCACCTTGGCACTGTCGTAGGGCTCGGTGGTGCCTGAGGGCGTTGCCATCAGAGTTATAACGTCACAGTCGATGGTCTTGTCTGGGGAGGGGGCAAATGTGTCCGAGATGACCCCCAGGAAGTCCGACAGCCCCTTCCTCACCTTCTCGGTGGCACCTGAGGAGCCTTCCGTCCTCTTCAAGAGAGAAACCAGCACAGGGTGAGTGACAGTCCCTGCAGCAGCAGGATGCCCCAGGAGTTCTGGATAGGATCCTTTAGGAAAGCAGGATGTCTCTCCCTCCAGGAAAGTGCTGAGGAGGTGCCTGGGCTGGAGGGAAGCTCCCACCTCAGGACCAGTGAGGGGTTTGTGGGGAACTGAGCCCAGGCTTTGGGGGAAGGACACAGGCGGGTTTGGGACGGGCTGTTTTGGGGTTGGGCTGTCACAGCAGCAGCTGGGGACATCCAGTGTCATATGCACAGTGACACTGCCAGGATCCCACCTGCAAGCACAGGGGGAGAGGGGAACCACAGGGAACTTTCCCCTGCTCATCCACAAGGGCACGGAGTGACAGGAGAAGGGGGAATGGCCTTAAGGCAAAGAGGAGGGTAGGGTTAGACGGGATACTGGGGAGAAATCCTTCCCTGGGAGGGTGGGCAGGCCCTGGCACAGGTTTGCCCAGAGAAGCTGTGGCTGCCCCATCCCTGGGAGTGTCCAAGGCCAGGCAACTCCACACAGCGCCCAGCACCAAACCCGCCCTGCAGAGACAAAACCTGACCCCTGAAGATCACAACCGGGGTTTGTCCAGCGTCCTGTGGGGCAGGACCACCCTGCCCACCCCCTTTTCCCCCGTGCCACGGCTCTGCCAGCCCCCCCACTCACCGCCAGCCTGTCCTTGACCACGCTGGCCGTGGCGGCGATGGTGCAGGCCGTGTCGTGCTGCACCACCTGGGTGAACTCTGCCAGGTCCCTCCTCATGAACTCCAGGGCTTCTGTGGACTGCAAGGAGACAACAGAGGGACTGTGGAGCCTTTTCTCCTCTCCAGCAATTCGCACCAGCAACACCCAACCATTAGAGCAAGGGGTTGTTTTTTAAGCTAAGAATAGAGAAGCACGGGTTGGGAACAGCCCTGTCCTGAGTGTTGTGTATAATTAACACCAGCAGTGCTGTCACAGGCAGGAAATGACACCCCATGGAACCCTCCCTGCTCGGGGGGGGGGTGATTCCCACGGGACAGAGCCCGAGATCCCTGCACAGCATCACCCAGGCCCCCCAAGCTCCCGGAATTCCAGCCCTCCCAGCCCGTGCTCCAGCCCCAGCAGGTCCCACCTTCTCCTTGACGGCCTGGTAGCTCTGCTGCAGCCAACTGCGCCACCAGCCCCCATCCTCCCTGCGGGACATGGGGGGGGACACGGCGTCAGGACACACGGACAGGCACAGCCACACAGATGGACAGATGGACACACGCGGGGACTGACCCAGACCTCCAGCCCAGACTTCACAGCCCACACCCAAATCCCAGATCCTGATCCCCAAATCCAGATTCAGACCCAGATTCCAGACCCTAACCCAAGACCCAGATCCAGATCCCAGACCCGGATCCCGGATCCAGACCCAGATCCCGAGTCCAAACCTCAGATCCCACACCCAGATCCCAGACCCAGATCCCGGCCCACGTCCTGAGCCCAAACCCCAGACCCAGATCCCAAACCCCCGATCCCAGACACCGAGTCAGACCTCGGATCAGCGGCCACAGGCCCCGATCCCAGCCCCCCCATCCCGGCCCCACCGCGGCCCCCCGGCCGAGCCCCGCTCACCCCTCCGCCATCTTCGCGCTGTGACGTCACCAATATTTACCGACCCCTCACCCGGTGCATCCTGACGTCACTTCCCGCCCCGCCCCGAGGGGGGCGGCCCCGGTACGGCGGCCGGGAGGGATCGGGAGCCACCGGCACCGGGCGGAGGTGAGCGGGGAGCAGCGGGCGGGACGGGCCGTGGGGCGGGCAGCGATCCCGGTACCGGGCAGGGTGAGTCGGGATGGTCCTCGGCGTTCTGTGGGGTCCCGGTACCGGGAAGGGCCGTTCTCGGAGCAGGGAGGGATCCCGGTACGGGGAGGAACGGTCCTTGGCGTTCCGGACACCGTCGGTATCGGGAAGGACCGTCTTGGGAGCAGGGAGGGTTGCCAGTACCGGACAGGACGGTCCTTGGCGTTCCAGGTCATTCCCGGTACTGGGAAAGACGGTCCTTGGAGCAGGGAAGGATCCCGGCACCGGTAGGGTCGGTCCCCGGTGTTCCAGACACCTCCAGCAGCGGGTGGGACAGTCCTTGGGTCAGAGAGGGATCCCGGTACCGGGCAAGACAGTCCAGACGGTCCGTGGTGTCCCGGAGCATCCCTGGTGCCTCCCGCGGGATGGGGGCTGGTGCTGCTCCCCTGTCCCTGGTGTCCCCCCCTGTCCCTGGTGTCCCCTCCTGTCCCTGGTGTGTCCCCCCTGTCCCTGGTGTGTCCCCCCTGTCCCTGGTGTGTCCCCTCTGTCCCTGGTGTGTCCCTCCTGTCCCCCTATCCCTGGTGTGTCCCCGGTGTCCCGCCAGGGATCCGCGAGGGTCCCGGTGCTGATTTTAAGATTTTTTTCCGGTGTTTCCCGGCACAGCCATGGAGGTGCAGTCCTACTACACCAAACTGCTGGGGGAGCTGAACGAGCAGCGCAAGCGGGACTTCTTCTGCGACTGCAGCATCATCGTGGAGGGCCGGATCTTCAAGGCGCACAAGAACATCCTGTTCGCCAACAGCGGCTACTTCCGAGCGCTGCTCATCCACTACATCCAGGACAGCGGCCGCCACAGCACCGCCTCCCTCGACATCGTCACCTCCGACGCCTTCTCCGTCATCCTGGACTTCCTCTACTCCGGGAAGCTCGACCTGCGCGGCGAGAACGTGATCGAGGTGATGTCGGCCGCCAGCTACCTGCAGATGACCGACGTGGTCAACTTCTGCAAGGCCTACATCAGGTCCTCCCTGGACATCTGCAGGAAGATGGAGCGGGAGGCGGCTCTCTACCAGGCGGACAGCGGGAGCTCGGCCAGGGAGGGCCCGTCCCTCGGGCCCAGGGGTCAGTGCCCGGCCCCTGGCTCGTCCCTGCAGGACGAGGAAGGGCTTTCGGGCTGCCAGCGGGACCCCCCGTGTGGGGACTGCAGCGGCTGCCACCCCCTGGAGCTGGTGGTGCGGGACCCCCGGGACGGGGTGAACTCCTCGCTGCCCGGGGGGGTGGAACCCAAGGTGGAGTTGGAGCCCGATGAAGGGGAGGTGGAGGAGGGCGAGAGGCTGCCCCCGTGTCCCGCCCCGCTGTCCCTGGAGCACGGGGAGGAGGGGCAGCCCGTGGACCTGGCCTGCAACAGCTACCACATGAAGCAGTTCCTGGAGGCCCTGCTGCGCAACAGCTCGGCCCAGAGGAAGGAGGACGTGGTGGTGCAGCACTTTGTGAGGGGGTTGGAGGGCAGGACGGAGGACGCAGGGGTGGCCGTGAGCTCCATGGTGGACATTCACAGCGACTGGTATGGTGAGGACGCAGGTGAGAGGACCTGGGGGGGGAAATGGTACAGGCTGAGGAGACAGCTCGGCTGTGCCCAGACTTCTCTTGTTGCTGTTGTTCCTGCTCAGGAATGTGTCGGTGAATGTTGTGCCGTAGTGAAATAAACTCTCGTTGTGGACTTGCAAAGCAGCTGTACTTGTCTGTTCAGTGCAGCCCGTGGGAGGTGAGTATTGCCCAGGAGCTTTACAGCCCCCCCTGGAACAGAAACCGGAGCTAAGTGTGGGTGATCCTGCCCTAAATAAACAAACTCACTCGAGACCTCTTTGAACGGCAGGTGAATTTTTAAAGGGCGTTTTCCTCTTGTGACGGTCGCGGGGTAAGGAGCGATCCGGGAGGAGCTGAGCTGCCACAGGAGGGATCTGCTGCAGGACCTGGCCCAGCAGGAGGAGCTCATCCCACTGGAGCTCCTGACAGCACATCTGCTGGGTGACGGGCTCTTTGCTCCTGCTTTGAACTTCAAAGGGCAGAAATCGGTTTAATCCAGTACTGAGGGGCACCTACAAGTCCTCTGAAAGCTTTAAACTCTGGGGTGCTGCATAAAGAGGAGACCTTTTTAGAGGCAAACTCACTTTTCAGCTGTTGGTCACCGAGGTTCTGCTGCTGCCCCAAGCCCAGCACCTGTTGGAATGTCTCAGGAATATCTCCCAGGAGCAGTGTCAGGGACCTGGAGGAGAAGAAAGGCATGCCCATATGCATTTCCCCTGAAGTGGACAATAAAGATTTGGGCATTTTATCTGGTTTTTTTTTTGGTGATTGCCTTGCCTAAACAACCCTGTGAAGACGGGAGGTGGCTCTGGCAAACGGCAGGTGGCACGGCCAGTGAGGATGTGACAAATTCCACAGTGCTGTGAGCACAGACAGGGCTGGCACTGGGTGCTCTGCCAGACCCAGCAAGTTTGTGTTCGTGTCATCTCCAGCTCAAGCCCGCCTGTGTGATCCCAGAGCCGATAAAACAGATCTGTTCTCCCGCTGCTTTAAAACAAGGAGCTGATAAAAATCACAAAATCCATTTTTGCTGTCCCCAGAAGCTCTCAGGGCCGTCACAGATCGTGCCTGTCATCTCTGACAGAGAGCAAGACAGGAGCATCAAACACACAAACTTCACTTCTCTTTTTCCTCTCTTAAAACCTCCAAACTGCTTAATAAAGTCATTGAAAAGGGAGGTGCTTCCAGGATTTGATGGAGAACACCAGGTTGTCCTGACAGTGGAGTAGAAGTGTCAGTGGCAGACGTGTTTTAAGTGGGGAGTGAGGGAAAGGAAACCAAGCCCTGCATTCCTTTATTTCTCTGCTAAAACAGGACATCATAAGCACTTTGTAGGATGGGAGTTTCTCTTCCCAGCTTTCACCTGGTGCTGCTGCCTCAGCATTTTCACAAGGCACCAGGCATGAGAAATACATGGCAGAGGAATGGTGCCACAGGAGATAAATGCTTTTTATATTTTGGAGTGTCCACCTCTGTTCTTGTCATCCTGGTCCCCCTTCACAGCAGGTGGAGGATAAACAGGCACCTCTAGAGAGCCTGGAAGCAAGTCAGGACTACGAACTGGGCTTGGGTTTTTATTTTTAATGGAGCTTTAAGGGCCCAGCAGGGATTGGCAGTACCTTGTGAAGGTCCAGAATTGGGTGAGGTGACTCTCACTCACATACCATTAATATTAGACACACCCTTTTTGATAGTGGGTTGGATAAACCTTAATAAAGGGATGTTCTGCAACCTCAGCTGCTTGTGGAAGAGCTCAAGGCATTTGACATGCAAACACTTCCCTGAATCAGTGCCTGAAATAAATATTTGAATACAAGGTCACATGGGGGCACAGTGCAGTGTTCCTACCTGCAGTTTATGTTAAAAGATTTTAGTTTCTGATGCAGTTTAATAATTAAAAAAAAAAAAACTGAGTAGGAAACTTTCTGTGGCTGAGATGGAGCAGAGACCCCTCCCCCTGCACCAAAAGCAGGTTTGGGGCACTCGATGGCTTCTTAACATAAAATGAGTGTTTTCCTGTTGTATCAGCTGTGTAAGGCTGATTTCTGAGGCACTTGGGCATCTGCAGCTGCACCAGTGCCTGCAACTGCCCAAGCTGAGGGAATTCCAGGTAAGCCAAGTCCAGGGAGAGGGGAGGTGCAGTTCCCTCGGCTGGGATTTGTGGGAGCAGGGCAGGGACCCAGCACAGCCGTTCCCAGGGGTGCTGCCCTGCCTGACCCGCTGCCCTGTGTGTTTTTCCTCCCCGAAGGTGACGTGCTGGTCGTGCCAATCAAGCTGCACAAGTGCCCCTTCTGCCCCTACACGGCCAAGCAGAAGGGCATCCTGAAGAGGCACATCCGCTCCCACACCGGGGAGAGGCCCTACCCCTGCGAGACCTGTGGGAAGCGCTTCACCCGCCAGGAGCACCTGAGGAGCCACGCCCTGAGCGTGAGTTTGGCCCTGCATCCCTCGGGAAATTCATTCCTAGTTGTTTCCTTGGCGTTCTCCAGTCACGTCCCCCGAAATCCACTGTTGTTGCTGATGCGAGGCTTAAGCCACTGATGTTGGGTTCAATAATTTAGGGGTTGGGTTCATCAGATGTTTGATATTTGGTTCTTTAGGTTGGATATGGGGATGGGATTCTCCCCTGTGAGGGTGGGCAGGCCCTGGCACAGGTTTGCCCAGAGAAGCTGTGGCTGCCCCTGGATCCCTGGGAGTGTCCAAGGCCAGGTTGGACCAGCCTGGGATAGTGGGAGGTGTCCCTGCCCAGGGCAGGGGGTGGAATTAGATAAGCTCAGGGTCCCTCCCAACCCAACCCACAACGTGATTCCACGATCCTTTGGTAGCCCAAACCTTCCCCGCTCTGGGAATATTTTCCAACCTGGCCGGTTGCCTTTCTGTTTTTTTTTTATTTATTTTTGATTTTCCCAGCTCGCCTCCCTTTTCCCCCCCCGCAGGTTCACCGCTCCAACAAGCCCATCATCTGCAAGGGCTGCAGGAGGACCTTCACCAACAGCCTGTCCCCGGGGCTGCGGCGCTTCGGGCTCTGCGACAGCTGCACCTGCGTCACCACCACCCACGAGGACCCCGCGCCCATCAACCTCAGCCTGGTGGAGGCGGCCTCGGAGGGCCAGGACAAAGGGGATGCCGACAGTGACTGGCCCATCTACGTGGAGTCTGGCGAGGAGAACGATGAGGAGGAGGGCGATGACAAGCAGGAAATCCACAGGAGTTTGTCGGACAGGGAGTCGCTGATGTAGCAGCGGGAGGGGGAGAGGGGGCACAGGAGACTGCTCGTTAGCCCCCAGTTTGGTGACGCTGCGCTGGGTTTTTAATTCCTTCTTTTTTTTTTTTTTTTTGAGGATGGGAATTTTTAATGCTCTTTAAGTTTTCAGTGCTGTGCACCAGAAGTCTGTGCAGGGCCTCCTGTCTGGGCTTCACAGAGCTTGGACTTGAGCAATTTCTCTGCCCCTCTGGTTCTGATTTTGCAGGTGGAACATCTCTTGTGTTGGTTTGATGACAGGTTTCTTCAAACAGTGCTGTTGTGCTCCTCAATCCCTGACCTGAAAGGGGCACCACCTTCTCTCTGAAGATGACATGAAATGTAGTTTACATCTCTTACCTTGGGAACTTTTTAAATCTTTAAACCGTGATCCTTTCTGTGCTAGGACAGTATTACCTAAACTGTAAACCAGGAGTGTTTGCTCGGGCTGGGTCTGACCTGGAAACCAGGGCAGAAAAACCAGGATAACAAAAATATGCTGCTGCTGAAAGGATAGTCAGTAAGGAATAGTTGTACTTCACGTGTCCTTAACTGCAGGAATTTGGAGATCAAGTTTCTCTTCCTGAATTTTTACTGCATCTTACCCCAGTTATTTATTTCTTTTTAAAAAAAACCCAAACCCTCCACTGTGGACCTCCTGTTTCTTTGCTGGGATAGCTCAAGGTTTTCAAAAGGGGGGTGAGATTTGTTACCTTTTCAGTAGCCAGTTGATATAAGCTATCAAAAAAACAGGCTGGGAAGCTTTAGAAGAAAACCCACCTCCAACAGAAAGCCTGTTTGCTTTTAGGGGTGACCTCCTGTTCCCTAAGGAAGGGACAAAACTGAGATTATACTGTGAAATAAGACTGTTAATGCTTCTTTACCCTGCTGTTCATAAGTGTTCCACGAAAAGGCAAATTTTGTGAGTCTTTCTAGCTGGAGCAAAGGCTGGACCAGAAGCCTGCAGACAGATTTGGCTGACGAAGAACGAGCAGTTCCTCCCACTTAAGACAAGTGTTTCTTGAGGCTTTTGCTGTAAAGACTTCACTCTTGGCAAACCTGAAAAAAAAAAACAGAAAACAAAGAGGATGTCTGCAGGAATGTCTTCAGAGACCTTTTTTCCTTCAACCTGCTGTCTCTTTGGTCTTAGAGATTGTTCTTGTGTGTCTTTGTGCCTAGAGAATGGAGCTGGGAGGGGTGAGGGGAGGGGGTGGGGGGGTTGGCCGTGCACATTCCACGTGGAAAGTCACCACCAAACTCGTGTTTCCTGTTGGAATTGTCATATTGTGCTGTTTTGTTTCCTATGGAGTTCCTTCAGCCTTTGTGGTAGAAGAGGATGAATAGTTTA